ATTATTTTGCACATATGTTCACAATAATGAGACCATGTGTCATGCACAGCACCCGGAACATTATCGCCAAGGTCAAGGCTACTTGTAGAGATCAACACTTTACATGGTCTTTTACAAAGTATATTTTGTATGCAGTCCATAATTATTTATGGTTTAAGGGATTTTATAATAACTTGGCAAAAATGTTAACAATAATGGGAGCTTGTTTCATATGCAACAGCCTTTCTTCAATCTTCAATAACAAGTTCACACTCGAGTGCCAAAACCTAACATGTATATTTTGTGTGCGGTTTGTAACCTTTTCATCAATCAATATATCTTAAAATAACTTGACACACATGTATAACAATAATAAGACGACATGTCATGCGCAACACCTAGACCTTGCCCCAAAGGTCAATGTCGCACTTGGAGGTCAAAGCCTTAAGTTGTTTGCTACAAATTATGATGTCAAGTTATTTGTGAATTGCCCAAATATTCTGATTGATGACTGGACATTTATTATTTATTTCTCACATTTTGTGGCTTTGAGATATGGACAACAAGTTTACAAATGTATTTCTGTTGACACATACACAGGAGTTATTTCATGATATTTCTATAATGAATTTACTGTTACTGGCATATGCAGATCTAGCATTGATCAAAATTTTGCACTGACAGTCCAGATTCATACCTCAATATTTTGAAATAGCACCATTTGGTGCTTCATGTAAAACTTCCCTAAGGCGGGGGGGGGGGGGGCGTTGGGAACTCTGTTACAAATTATTGTTAATTTAAAAATTTATAAAAATAGAGAAAAACAGAATCACCAAAGAAAGTCCAACACAGCAAAGTTAAAAATGTTGCTGGATCGGTTTGATTGAGTCTGTTCATGGACAATAATGGAATGTGCAAGTTACATTCCACGCCCACGTCGGGGTTTATAGAGAATCCGTTGAGGTATTTTGATATTACTGGACCAGATCTGTTTAGTTTGATGGTTTAAGAAGCGTTAAGCTTATTGAAACAAATCTGTGTCTGGAACCAGCCATGAGTGTAAATCTCTTGTTAACGGAAGTTATGACTTGCCCTAGACGAGGTTTGACCAGCCATTCTTAGATTTATAGTATTACAATTAATCAATCGGCCATGCTGCTACTGGACTAGTTTGGTCAGGACTTCAACGCATAAATTTACCTTTAAAGTCGAATACAAATCGTATTTAAACTGAGAATATGTTTCATTTTTGCATATCTTTCGTTTTAATTATTCCAGTTCTTTCATTATAAGAATTTGTTTAACGATTATTTATATTGTTATTTTCATTATCGTTTTGACCTCACAAAGTTCCTGAACGCAATTATAGTTAGTATTATTCAAAATTGTTCAAAGCATTTCAAAAATACAAAGTTGTCGTACCAATAATTTCAATTTATGTTGAAATATATATACATCGAAATGTTTACCCTAATCAACCCGTACATGTATAAGTTAAATACGTTATACGTATTATAGTTATATTTAAATGAATAATCAATCACAATTATTGAGTTAGTTTGATAGATATCTATTATTTATAGTGTTAACACGAACACTAACTAGTTAGTCAGATTATCAACGCGATAATTATTTGGTTAACTGTTGGCAGAGAAATGCCACCATAAGTAACTGACAAAAACACTTAGATCATTGACATACATACTAGACTTTCATTTAACCCAGATAGCTCACATTGCTGGGATATCACTTGAATCACTTGAAAGTAAAACGAATAACTGCCAAATGGATACCCTATTTGTTAACATCTGACTACAAGAAGAAGAGTTTCCTAAATATGACGGTCGCCCTTTTCTGATATTGTGACTTGTGATAAAAACTGGCCTTATTATTTTACGCCAGTGTTATAATATTTGGGCCACCAAAATGTTCGTCTACCATGCATTGCCAAGTGATTTACAAGTGTCAAGATGGTTATGTTCGTTCTTCCCCAATACCCATGGAACTGTTGTTCAAAGTCCTGTTTCTAGAGGCATTTCTGCCTCATCCAAACATTAAAGAGATGTCGCGTGATGTAAAATTGCAAAACACTTTTAAATTAATAAAAATCTTTCTTCGAGTGGTATAAAAGGCCTGCTTTTTCTGCATAAACTGCTTCTGCACATAAAAGGAGCTTCAACAATTGATTTTGTTCAAGAAAAACTAGTGACTGTCCTTTAAGGCTTTGTCACACTAGACTACGCTTTCACAGCGTTCGCACGGCGTTGTTGAATTAAACAAAGTGCCGCGTGACTGCAAGAAAAATATGATACTTTTGAAGACGTGAAGTCTTCACGGTGTCTTCAAGCGTACTCATGGCGAGCACTGCGTTGCTATGGAGCTTCCACGGCGTTGTGATGTTTTCTTACGGCGTTTTAATAAGCGATTGTCTGCGTTCAGACTGTGCTTCTTCTGCGTACTTTGCGCTTCCACCGCGCTTTCACGGCGCTTTCGCTGCGTTTAAAGCGTGCATCATATACCAGCAATTTCTCACGTCTGCGTTATTTGTTTATTTATTCAGAAAAATACTATGCCAGATAACAGATGTGCAAAAGGGAAAAAGCAAAGGTTAAATTCAAGTAATATGCAAACAGAGAAAAGACTCTCGCAACCACAGCATCAGTCAGATGAATCACTATCAACACATGTTTCTCGGGAGAATACTACTTCAACCTCTTCATTCATCAGCCCTACCCAGCCAAACAAGAAAACAAAGGTGGTATAGAACCTAACTTTCGCTCAAGAGGAAGAAATGGCATAATGGCTTGAGAACCATAAACTTCTCTACAACAATAAACTGGACGCTTAAAAGGACTACAAGAAAACAAGATGCTCTTTGGGAGTAAAAAGCAGCTAGCATGGGCAAAAATGTGCAGGTCCTAAAGATATGGTTCAGGTCCATTAGAACCCGCTTCATCCGACTAGTGCATTGAAAGTCTGGGTACGGCGCTTCCGAATTTTCAGAGAGAGACCGCTGGATCCTAACACACTTGTCATTTTTTAGAGTCCACGTCATTGAACTTCTAAAGAAGAAGATAGTAAGTGTAAGTATCTGTCTGTCTGTCTGTCTGTCCGTCCCTCCGTCCGTCCATCCATCCATCCATCCATCCTTCCATCTAGTTTGTCCAATGAATTTAATGATAATTTACTATAATTATTTTTTGCAACTGTCCTTTTACCATATGAAGGAGAAAATATCTACTGAGGTCACTTGCTGGCGAACACGATGACCATTTGGCAAACCTTCACAAAATCGAAACAGAAACCCCCACTCCCCATCATCCGGAATCCTTATCCCATAAGTCATCAACATCCACTTCTAAGAAAACAGTTCTGGAGGAAGAGCGATTGCTAGCAACATCGCTGCCAGAGAGGAACAAACCCATGGGTTTCAAACCAAAGTGTTAGAGATGATAGCACCTTCCAATGCAACAGAAATAATTCGTTACGCTGACTGGGCAGAGGAGGTAATTGTGAGTTTACTTCAGTTACTTTGGCTTAAGTTTCAGCGCAAATGTACAAATCTGCTTAACGCGTACTAGGAAAGAAGTGAACCCCTTGTGAATCCTTTTGCCAAGCATTATTATACCCAACAACCGCAAACTTACAGCTGCTGTATCAATTGTACCAAAGAAATGCTATCGGGCCATCATCTACAAGCATCATGTTGCAGACCCAACCGCAACAATAGCCGTCCACCGTCCTTCAACATATAACAGCATGGGTGCGTCATAATACAACATCAGTACAGGGGCAAATGCCTGATCTGCAAACAATGACAACAATGGTCTGTGAGTCTTCTGTTCTAGCTACATCAACCAGCAATACCGTTTATAACCTGTATGAATCACCATTGTGTTTGTCTAGAATAATAAGAGACACTATTTTGATACATACTTCAACTAAAAATGCCATCGCAATTGTGTATAAATGGCATCTAGATATTATACTTTTTACACAGTACACAGGAAGTGCATTTTTGAAAAAAGTTATTTCATAGTCAGAAAAGGCCACTTAAAGTTCCTATATTAATAATTGCATATTACTACAGAGAGAGTATTGTGTTTTGATCATGCAATATATCAAGTGTATATCGAAACAATTTATCCTCAAAATATTCATTTTGTGCTTCATACTGTTAATTGTTCATGTATACTTATCTTTAGTTGGTCTGATTTCCAGTAGGTTAGCGATAATTAATATTATATTTTTATTTTCTGTTTCCAGTGAGATATTGGTATTTTGTAAATAAATACAAAATAAATTATGTCAATGTAATTTCTTTCCATTTTTTAAAGGTCTATCAAACACGGAAGTAATGATGATGCAAGGAGCTCGAACAAGCCACTGCTTAAACTTGAGATACTCCATCTGCTTTTTGGCTGCAGTGCTGTCTCAGTTGTTGCCTTAAATACACTCCGAATCATGCATTCCTGGTGTTGCACGCCATTCACCAGGAATGATTTTGTGGTTAGCATTCTCGTCATCCATATCATTATTTTGGAGGGCAGGATAAAAAAGCGGCATTACATTGTGTAGTATTATACATGCTGCCACAATGATAGCGATTGTTTCGGGCCTGTGTTGCATTGTGGTAAGGAGAAACTTCCAGTGATGAGCAAGAATCCCAAACGACACTACGTCCTCTCGACAACCTGTACAGTAGATAGTTAAAGATCAATATACATTTCATTTGAAAAGTTCTAAATTTGGCATCAACTGTAGCAGTTATTGCTGACTTAATACATTGCTTGTTGGACATACCCTTATTGCAATATATGCATACTTTGACATAGGAAAATCTCTATGTACTGATGAATAATTGATCAATTTCTTATATTTATATGTATAATATATATTTACACTTCACAATTAATACAATGTCATTAAAAAGAAATAACCTGTTTTTGAAAACTCTCTGCTCCTTTGTCATATAACACTGCGAATACGGTTTCATCAAATACGTTCGAAGTCCGAACGCATCATCGCCTAAGATGAAGATTGGCATTGTCATCATTCAGTAGTGGGTTTGCTGCAGGAAAACCAAAACTGTTGTCCTCAAGACATTCCTTTAACCCGGACGCATTGAAAATTTGAGCATCGGACATATGCCCATAGCCACCGACATCGGCCGAAAGGAACTTGTGGCAAGCATCTACAAGACCCAATAGAACGATGGAGAAAACCCCTATATAGTTAAAGTACGTGCTTCCGCTATTTTCAGGTGGTCTGCAGGCTACCTGTTTGCCATCCAAAGCACCGCATGCATGGGGAACGTTCAAATTCTGCTGAAATTTCACTCCATTCAATTTGGTAGGACACTGAATACACTTATTTTTATATTCATCAATAATGGCCTTGAATAATTCACGTACACACACAGACATGGTGTTGTGAAGCACTCTAAAATTAAATTTTATGCTTGCATATCTGTTCCACGAAGGTAGATGGCGCAATATCATTGCTAGTTTTAAACCTGGTTCTAGCGCTTTTTCGTACCGTGTGTCTGATTTGGTAATTCGAGGGAGCAGCCAATGCAGGTTCTCATAAAAAATGGTCGGCGAACTTGTAGGTAGTTGAAGTAACTAGCAGAGCCTTATTATCAAAGCTCGGGCGTGAGCCGATGAAAATGGCTATGGTCAATTATTCAGCCATAGTCGTGAGAACGCTGCCCTAGTTTGACAGGGTATGACAATCAATCGTATTCTCCATACTTCATCATCCTATTGCATTTTCTTTTTTCTAAAATGAAACAAAAACATCATGCTGGTCATCGTTACAAGAATTGAAATGAAAATGTCAGTTATTTAAAGGAGGAGTATGTTGAAGTTATTAAGATTTGTATTCGTAATATAGGTCTAAACTTTGTAATTCAGTAGAATGAGATTATTTCATAACGTTGAAATAGAAATCTAAAGCTTATTATATGTTCTAAAAATAGCTGCAATATCATTTGTCCCAACAGTAGCCAACAATACAACTTATGAAATCATATTCAAAAGGTGTAGTATCATATTTACTGACTGAATTAGATTGTCCCAATCTAAAATTAGAAAGTGGCTCATATTCATTGACAACATACAGATGAATATTAAATACGCTGATTAATTCATATTCATGGGATAGAGTGACATCTTTACAGGCGTATTTGGAATATCAAGATTTAAAACTAAAATAAGACTCATGTTCAATGCCCATACAACATTAACTATTCACCAGCCTGCACATAAAAATAAGTGATTCGTTTTGTTCTTAATAGCATATTTTTTTATTCAAATCAAACTACTTTACAATATCATTATAGTTACACCGCAACAATAGATACATTCGATTTTGATAAATTTTGTTTGTGTTGAGTATGCGTAGCCATTAAACTTCTGAGGTCAGAATTTTACGTCCGTCTTTTACCGGCGCTTAAATGAAAACAGTCACAATACAACATTAATTGATAAATTTCACATCATGTTAGATGACTCACCAGTCAACAATTGTCTAAAATTTGCTATTCGTTAAATTTTTTAATTGGCCATATTGTAATATTAAACACCATCCTACGATAGATAATATGGCAAGATGTGTTCAGTTACCGAAGACAGCAAAAATCAATCAATCAGTTTAAACATACGTTTTTCCCGAATATATTCATACCAACATAATACAATTATAATACAAGTCAAATAATATATTCTATCCAAAGAAAATGATTAGAACGGACGTTATACATGTAGTCTTATGAAAATGCTTTTCCTTGAGTCTATTTACCAATTGTACCGAGTTTTGTACAAATTTATTATTTTAAAGAGACGGGAATATAAATATGTACTTAGAGGGAAAATATGAATATGTAATAGTTATAGAAACAAGAGAGCCAAGATGGCCCTAGATCGCTCACCTGACCATTCAAACTCATCCGAGCAATTACCAAGATAAGCATCCCGACCAAGTTTCATGACAGTTGAGTCAAAATGTGACCACATGTACATAATGTATAAAATTTTATTTGTCACATTTGTTTTAACGTTATGTTTTGAAGTGTTTCAATAATTCAGTATGTCTAAAGAGATATTTCCCGCTGGTAAACAGAAACAAATGCGAATGTTAATCTAAATATTTATTAAATAAAATTCCATTTGTATCTGAAATTCTGAATATTAAAAACTTTGTAGTGAAATATGCATCTACTATGGCCTTATTTTGATAACCTTAATACCACAGAAAGCTTAATATTCCTAAAGTGAAACCATACCATCATAGTGATATCGCGAGATAATTGTACACCAAATAGCAAGTTGGTAGGCTGGAATTCCCGCGGGCATGTCCTGTATCATGATATTAGAGTAATGACAAATTAGGCACCGATGTAGTGTATGGATATTCTCTAAATACAGAAAAATAATTCAGACAAACATCTGCGTGCAAATGAGGATTTCCGTGCTTTTTCTAATCGCACCCTAATTTACATCTTTAAGAGAAAAGAAAAAAAGGAAATCATGCTTTCATGAATATAAATGTAGCATGTTAGTCCTTGGAAACAAACATCGGACTTTTAAATGCACGTCAAAATAAAAGGGTAACATTTATGTACAATAATTGGCAGGCGTTCATTTTCTGTAATGTTGGATTATTGTATCTATGTATTTTCAGGAGAGAAACACAAATAATATTAGATGATTATATATTTATTTTCTTTTTTTTAACATTCTATTTTTGGTCATTGGAAATTGAAATATCCTGTTGATAATATATTTTTCGTTTAAGTAAATGTCATCATTGAGGAAAAACGTAGACATTCATGATGATTCTTCTTCATTTATCATACTCAAAGATAATAAGTCTATAGGCAAAACTTCATCCTAAATTTTCAGAAAAAGCAAGGAAATAATGCGTTGTTAACAGGTTTCAATATATAGTAAACATTTTAGAATACATGTACCAATGGAAAACTAGGAAAGCTAGGAAAATTAACTCCAATACTATCTCGAATAGTTCCAGAAAAAAATAAACTAGATTTTTACCTTTAAGCTGTATTCTATAATAACTAATACCATTTAACGTAAGTTGACAGTCCTGCTTGTATATTCTTTAAAAAGCCTTTACTTATGAAATTACGTGAATTTGTAATTACATATAACAGTATTCCAAGCATAAAATCTATGATAAAAATGATACACAGATATCATACATCTGACCTATATATCCATACGTCAATTTCGAGGGTAATGACTTACCAAATTACAACTTATTTACAATGTTTTCCTCAGGACATGATATATCACCCTGCAGTTGCTGAAAGATGTAAATTCCAAGATTGCTTAGGGTCGAACATAATTGATCTCTACTGTATAGATGTAAGTCAAGATGTTTTAGAAAGACAGCTGCTTCGATTATCTGTTGTCACATATAAATATGGAATATAATTCAGGCCTTGTGTACACAAAAACGTCAGTTTCTAACTACAGAATGCTTGTTCTGATAGTAAGGATATCATTTGCATCAATTAGTACGTGATAATTCTAGACTTAGTACATAGTGTTGCTAATATATTGTTAAGCAAAACTAATCAAATTAGTCTTTAGCATCAGTGCAGACAATGCCTAATTGATATATGTTTTTACCCGTTTAGATATAACATCGTTTAATTTTAAAGAATTTAGTCATAATTGTCAAATTTATTAAGGAAACATTGCGAGATAAATGGATATCTGCTGAAGTTACAAGGTCATAACATCAAGGCACCACATTGTTCTCCAGGTGAGGAAATATGTTGATATTTACGATGTATTTACGATAAAAATTTAAGCGTTAATTGGCCAATTACTCATTTTACACACTAATGTTATGAAGACCTCACTTTTTATTCATAGACTAATTATAGTTTATATTTTCAACTGCGCATAAACGTTAGCACTTACATATACATGAGAAATATATTTTAAATGTGTATAGTCAATGAGTAATTTATTATACTATGTCCATGGTAAACGTTCGGCAAGGCATATGTTCATGGCAAATTTTATTCACAGCAATTATTTGAAGTTACTTAACATATATAGCACATTTATTTATTAATTTACATAATGCCCAAATATAAATACAGATAAACATATACATATTGGGATTATCATGTTTACATCTCTGAACAAACATAACAATTACTTGTAAGACATTCATCTGACAAAATTAGAAAATGTCAAACTGGCTAACGTGTTTTGTTTTTAAAAAAATAAAGATAACTGAACAACTGAGCATGACTGAGATATGTAACGTGATAGTTGTAATATTACGAAACTATTTCAATTAATATAGGTATAGAAAAATTTAGGTTAAAAATCTGAAAAGGTCATCCATGTATATTTGCACAGATGTGATTGAGATTAAATAGGTTGCTAAAAATCAGGGAAATTTTTTAAGAGAAGGGCAAATGTGTATGAAAATAAGTACTGAACAATAACTGAGAACAAACTTTTCTTTAAAAAGTCCTTAACTGATACAAAACTTACGAATGGGACTCTTTATTAAATGCATGCAATTGTCGGTTAACTAGTTTAGTAAACCTCTTCCCATCAAAATGTTTTGGCAAATATATGGAAATTGGTGACCAATAATTTTTTTCGGATTTTGGTATTGAAAAGTTACCAAAATGCCGTAATAAAAATATGTAACGTAACGTTTAATGCTTTGTCATCATTTCTATTAGTCATTTCCATGGCCGACCGTTATGCTCAAACCTGTAAAGTGATAACGATTACAAGTATCTGATTTTCAGATAATACAGTAATCAGTAATATCCCTTTATTTTTTATCACTTTTCAATGTCCTGTAGATATAGTCGGGTACCATGACTCATCTGACCTTCTAAGACTACAAACGATTATTCTTGACATTTTGATGCGACAATTGTCATTGCAAATAAATCGTCTGCAGGCTTATTTGAAACAAACGAAAAAAGATAGTAGCATCACATGATACAGTTGTACCATTAAATTTTGAAATTAGGTGCTAATAACGTAGTAATAATCAAATTAGTCTATTTTATTTTTGCTATGAAAGTCTTGAATTAAACAAGAACTACGTTCATGTAGTATAATCTTTTAATCCTCATATTTGATTGAATGGGGCCCTGTTTATCAATTGAACTAGGAAACAAAAATTGTTACGTTTCTAAAGAAAATTACTCGTCTTGTTGAATTTCATAATTCAGTCCAGGATGTAACGAGAAATTTTTGCAAAAAAATTAAAAAGTTGTTTGACAAAATATTACATAATCTCATTCATTAATAAAACGCATCAGTGTATGCATATAACATATTGATGGTGCTATACCAAGCCGTATTTCGGTAAAAAAAATCACCGTTTGGAGTTCTGATGCGAGGAACTATATCAAACG